TCATTGAAAATGTTAAGGTTGGATAAAAATAAAATTGATGAATATAATTTGTCTTATAATGGTCAAAAACTAGAAGGAGATACAGAATTATATAACTTCAAATCAATAATTGATACAAGTACACTAAAACCGGATCTTTTATTGATTAAGCAGTTCATAATCTGAAGTTGAATTTCTCATTAATTAAATATGCGATTCAGAGACTAATATTTGACTATTTACATTAATATTGCGCCGTTGTACTTCGACACTCAAAATTGCAATATGTCGACATTTCGCGACGAAGTTTTCGGTAACAGGATCCCGAATCTTCCGCGAGTTACTGAGAATAAAATTTAATAAAACTTTCAAGTTCTCATGATATTTGAAATACTAACAAAGCAAAATATACGGCAATATCTGCAAATCAACTTTCCTTCACTTTGAATTGTTGTAACTAGTTTCATACTACATCATCCGATTAACTTTAGTATGAAACTATTTTTCGAACTCACTCTCACACTGCTCAGATCCCCTTCGACCGCCCTACCGACATAACCTTCGCACATCAAAAAGCCGTGCCAATGTATCTATATTGACAAACTGCCTAAATTTGTATTTCCAAAAAGTGGCAGCAATGTCGTTTGGGGAAGAGTTGTGCCATGGAAATTTCAATAACTCGACTTCTATGCTATTATACCTTAAGCGTGTTTATTATTTACTCATAAGTATAGCATTTCATATAACAATCGTACGCACGATCTGATCTGATCCTATGGGATCTTACGTACGAAATAGTAAGATCCCATAAGACCGTGTCTGATTTTGTACGAGCTTATGTACGAATGACACATGATTCTGATTGGAGCTGGGCAAATCAAGTAAAAGATGTCTCTCAAGTCAGACTTGACTTGGTCCAAAATTTTCTGGGGTTATGACTTGATTTGACTTGACTTGAGCAATTTTTTTCAAGTAAGAGATTTTTGTTTAAAGATTTTCTTTTCCATGACTCTTTTACACTTCTCAGCCAGACTAATGTAAAACTTGACCATTTTTAAGTATTATAAGACTTTTACACTAAACAGAAACGATTTTTCTTGTAATTTGGTGCAAATAATTATAGAAGTATGCTTATTTCAATTATAAAATAAATTTTTGAAAACACGTAAACTATAAAAATTTTAGTATAAACTTTTAAAAAGAAATTTCAAAGTCTTATGAAAAATCTTAAACTTAGTAAGTTGTCACACTGAAATATTTCCTATAATCTACGAGTGTTACTGTATTAAACAAAATATCATAAAAAGGCTTACCGGTGAGTTAAAGTTAATTCCGGTGCCAGAATTCTGACGGAACGTGCCGGATCCAACATCGGAGTATGCCGGAATTCCGTAAAATCCGGCAGCAACCATATCGGACTATGCCGAAAATTCGTCGTTCGGAATCCGTGTCGGAAGATGTCGAAAAAGATCCGACCTATTCCGGCGTCTTCCGGTCGGTGAATCAGATTTTGCTGGATTTTGCAGAATGTGGCCAATTTTAAGGTTAAAACTAGTCTTCAATTATTTCTTTCACTTTTTAGTGGTTCTTCTCTCTGTTCGTTGGAGAGAGTGGAGGGGCCCGCTAGGTAGGACGTGTACAACACATCCGTTGAACAGTGTCAGCAATGACTCATACTTCTGAGAATTTGAGAAGAACAACTTCTCATTTTACATTTTCTGTAGTGTCGTATTTAAAGTGCTCCTGTCTTGAAACAAAACGATGAATATATCATGCGCACAGGAAAGAAAGAAAAAAATAAAGTGCACATCACAGGATCCGTCGATTTCCGGTTACTGGAAATTAACGGATCTGACTGGTTCCGGATATCGGATCCGATCTCTGGATCCGCTAGGGACCAAATATAGGAACGCGAAGGAATGAAGCAGATTCCGATCTCCGAAAATCACCGGAATTAATAGGATTCGCCAGAATCTGATCGGGTGAATTCGACCTGGGTATTCCATCGCCAAAATTATGACGTGAAATTCAAAACAGCTGCAACGTACTATAGCGGATCTTCTCAGCTTTTCCCTTTTCATTGCAATCGTCTTTCTACGAAGAGTCCCATTTATCGATTTTGGGTACATAACTGAAACCGATAAATAGGACTTTTATTAAATATTATCGTTTATACATGATGAATCAAGAAGATTGCTTTCACAGCTCATTTTGTAGAGAAGTATTCGCTCTACAAAACCTAGTTGTAAGAAACATTTAATATGCCATACTGTTCGTACAATGTAGTTTTTCCAAATTTCATAAAAATTTTAGCTCTTAATAATAATTCCTTTCTGAAAAACTGCGTTTTTACTGCAAAAATGTCCGGTCACATTTACTTGATTAAAAAGGTCCAGTGATGTAAATGTGTACATAAGTCCATGAAAACAAGACAAATCAGTTCAATTTTTTACAATCGTAAACGACAATTTATAATCAACGGAATTTCACGAAGAATGTGGATGTTTTAGTTTTGAAATTTCTCAGCATCCGTACACTTGGGGAGTCTGACCTAGTGAGCACTGGAAAGAGTAACGTTTTCCCAACTGATATATTTTAATTTCAACTTTATTAACTTTGCGTTTGGGCGATCAAATGATGTGAAAGATTGGACTGTATCAATACTGATTTTCTTCTAGTGATCCTAAAACATTTAACCAATGAATAGCGAGCCTCAAGACACTTCTTGGTGATTTTGCTGTCGATTCAATATACTATTCTAGACTCTCTTTCTAATGCTATCATTGGTTTTGATCAGTTTTACACTTCAATCTCTTACTTGAGCGGTGACAGTTAGTTGGCCAAGTCGTATTTTTATAAAAGAAAACATGATCGTTATTCGGAGAAGTAAATAGCAGGAAGGAAAAAGAGCGAACAGATTTTAATCTGGAGTTGAAAGGGAGTTGAAGTTGTACCTAGCCGGAGTTGCTCAGCTCTCCTCTGATTGCAGTACATTTTATAATTTTTAAAATTATTTTAAATATGTCCATAAATTAAGTAGTATCCACTTATGCTTCAGAAACCATTTTCTTCAGTTTTATCTACCGGATATGTGGCAAAATCTGTTTAACAATCTTAATTAAAAATAAAGTTCTTGTTAAAATTTAACTAGATCTACAGCTTTGATATGAACATTCAGTCAAAACAAAAAATTCAAATTGGATATAATCTGATACGATTGTAGCACAACATGTAACAATTGTTGGACAATGATAGTGTTTAAGGTTTTCGATTATGTAAGACAAGTGTTCTATTATGTTACATACTATAAAAGTAAGGTGAATACGTCAGTCGTTTCCTTCAGTATTATCTCTTCAATTTACGTAACATACATCAGGTTAATAGAAAATATCCTTTTCAAGTTCGTTTTAGTAAATGTTATTACATCTAAAACGTTGATCTGCTCGGTCATGTTATAAGAGGTTAACTTTGTTTTTCTTTTACAGTAACATGCAATCGTTAATCTAAATATAAACAACTTACCTTGTCCATCATGTAAATCAGAAAATTCTAATGTACCACCCGACGACTGGTCATGTAAATCATAATATGCATATTGTTTAGACCAGATTCCACCAATATCATTTTGCCTGTCAAACGAAGTCACAATAAAATTATCATCTAATAATATTTTAGCAGCTACTAATCCTGCTGCTCCAGCGCCAATTATTCCAACCGAAGGCATTTACTTCGTTGTTATTTTTACTTAAATCTTGAAATAAAATATTCTAATCGACGTAAGCATCATGTTGTTGTAAAGTAAATCAAATAACAACATTGTTGTAAGAGAGAAAACAAGTTTTCTTGACAAGAATTTATAAAAAAATAAAATTTCAATTTCTAGGCATTTTAAATTCCAGGTAAGGATGAGACTAGATTAAGAATCTACTTCACGATTAAGCCAGTTTCAACATTTCAAGAACTATGAAAGTTTTCTGAAACTTTCAGTATTACAATTCTATATATTTTGGGATTCTGAAACATTCTAACAAAACTTCGTTAATTACAAACGTTCTGAAATATGATTAATTAGGTAGAATTCAAATTTAATGCGCAATTTGTTGCTCACCCTTCAATGACGAAGTTATTCATTTTCTCCGTAAACCTTTTTAGACTGCACTCTGAGGCTAAAAAACCACCACATATACACAGAATTTACGGCTCTGTCACTCCTTTCTGAATTCGAAAATTAAAAACTTCAAAGTTTCAATTATGTGTCTAACAAGTTTCAGTCAATTTTCAAAGTCGGAAATCCAAATGGACGGAGTCCTGGAGAGTGTTATTTCTCCCTGGGAATAGCCTTACTTGTGAGACTCAGAACTCTTGATTTGTAGATTATAAATTGATTAATGAGGCATCGCAATGCTCATAAGAACAAGCACGTTTTGATCATACATAATTTGACTTTGACTATACACTCAAAACATCTTATTGAACCAAATTGTGCTATGCAGTGTTTTTTCTTGTCCTTCAGGCATTTTTCTCATACACGTACAAAGTCGTTTGTGTGCGTGTACTGATGCGTAGCTATTGCGTTCAAGTAGGTCCATTTTTCGCGTAGCGTTTATTGCTGAAGACGAAAATAATAATCTAAACGTTCCAACTAGAAATCCACATAAATTTTACAAAAATTCAAAATTCTTTGAATGGAAGAAAATTTCCCTGTGGATTAATTTTATTGCCTGCATTTGATCGTCAACAATAGCAAAATAAATAATATTAAAAAGTCCCACATATTGTAAGATAACAGATTTAAAAATAGAAGCGATATGACCAGGTGGATTCTTAAAAGCACCACAACCAAGAGCCGATAAAACGAGGCAATCATGTTTATGATAATGTGCAATTGCAAAAATGTTTTCAACCTTTTTTTGTGTATTAACAGCAAATTTATTTTCTAATGTTCTATTATTTTGTAATTTAGGGTCTCGATGAACAGCCATGGCAATAGCACAAACATTAAATAATGGAGCTTTTATGTACGCATAACCATTGACTTCTGTTTGTCGAAACACCGTAATACCAGTTGTGTAAATCGCTCCAAAATCATCCATCGGATAGAAACTATCACTTTTTGATATTTGTTTGAGCTCACATTTATCATTGCAATGTAGTCGTTCTGATCGATCCTTATCAGTTATTTCTGCATCAAGACTTTGGTAATAATTTGATCGACGAAAAACATTTTCCTCCTGTGCTCCACCACCTTTTCTATAACCTCCTCCAGGACTAGCTTGATTGGTCATATTTAGTAATAAAAGTCGACGTCCTTCCGAAACTAATTTCTGATAAATAATAAGACAATCTTCGTTAACTACTTTGACAGATGTCGATGCATATGGTGTTTTCATATTATTAACCGAAATTTTTGTACCGTGTGATAGTTTTGAGTTGCGATCATAAACAAATGTTTGCATACGGTCAGGTTTTAGTATAACTTCTTCGTTATTGACCGTGTAACGTTGCTTTCTTAGAACGCCTATTGTGTTGACTCCAGTTTTCGAAGTTGTTCAATCCAATTTTGAGCATTCCATTGATAATGAAAGATTGGATGTTGTTGAGGATTATGTAGTAGTGTCATAATATCTGGTTTGATCTCGAGCATATCTGTCTCATACCAGTTTTCAGCATGAATATCCATGGTTTCTGGATCAAAAATAAGAGCATATGGTTTAATTTCCATCATTGTACCATCTATTTTCACAAGCCCTTTGTCCAAACAATACTTATAATTGTCCACATTATTGAGTTCTAAAATAAACTGATCATTAAAATGATTGTGTTCAATAACTCGATTTGCAAATAAGTCGTGACAGATGATACGATTCACATCAAAACCACGAGGTACAGGAGAGACAAGTACTCGATCAGCAAGTGTCTTTTCCTGTGGTACTTTTCGTCCGTCAATTGTTAAGACAATTTCCGTTGTCCATGTTTTAGCGGACTTTGTTACTAGAACAATTGCATTACCAGTGTCTTTATCATATTGCACGTATAATGATCTTGCTGGCAGTTCTATACCACCCATCTTAGCAGTGACAGCGGATAAAAGTTTGGCATCGGTAGTAAATCGTGGTAAATCTTCAAAAAAACTACATTCAGCACGTGGATAAGCTAAAAATAAATGTAAATCTAAAAAAGAGATGGTTGTAATAAACATAGTACAAAATCTGAAAATGAAGAAGAAGTAGTATTTTGGTTTGATGTCAGACATTTGGTTAATCACAGGATAATTCATTTTTATCCTCTTTCGGGCAAACAATCACTGGAATACTGATAATCGAGAAGACCTGATCAACATGTAATCCTGTGATCACATTCTAGTTCTTGAAATGTAAACAAAAATAATTAATTACCAATAGATGAGAAAATAATTCGTCGCCTAATTGAAAATGAATCGAATAGGAGAACGAGTCTCTTGTGAGTTTATAATTACAAACAAAAAGAAAAACAGGTTAAACATGTTAAAATTACTTCTGACAGAAAGTCTTAGTTAACATACTAGTGTTTACCAGAGCATTCCAGTAGGCTGTTCGATATAGAAGTGCATGAAATTCAATGATTTGAACTTGTCAATCAGTTCACAATTCTCTGTCCTACCCATGTTCTGGAAATCGTTAAAAAATGGCAATTAATTGCGATATATCGAAACGATAATCGTGTACTGATACGCGATTAATCGTCAGTTTTTTGCGATAATTTTGACGATTTCTGCGATAAATCGTGATTTTTCGATCGATTATTATCTTTTATTCTCTTAATTATCGCCATAATTTGAGTCATATAATCTCAATTTTATAAACATATTTAGAAATTTTATTGCCAATTACAATTGATCAAATACTTTATTACAAAATTAAAACAAACACATGATTCTCCACACATTGAACATAAGAAAAGAAAGTGATTGAACACGTGATTACTAGCAAGAAAACTAATACACAATCGAGAAAAATGAAAAAAGATATAGTTTTTATGCACAGATTGTTATTTAGAAGTGCGTTTTTTCATCAACATTGGTTGAACCATCGCATTTCTGTAAGACTGTACATCTAAAATTCAGAAAATAAATGTAAATCTAAAAAAGAGATGGTTGTAATAAACATAGTACAAAATCTGAAAATGAAGAAGAAGTAGTATTTTGGTTTGATGTCAGACAAGGGCTGAAAAATGCATCTGAAATAAACTCAACAAAATTCTAATCGAAAGAATGTTTGATCGAAGAAAACATCTGAAATAGATGTATCAATGATGAAAAACATGTTCTATATAAAATAAGTTGTTTGTCATCAATATGAAGTCTTTTAGAACAGATGAAACGAATGCGAAGTTCATTTCGATCGTTTTTCAAAATATTCAACCTGGCTCAAGTCATAGTAGTGACATGCATACCAAAATGAAGTCTCTCTTTCGATTTTAAATCTCGTTAATCATATAAAACAAGTGTGTTGAAAATATTGTCGATCCTCAGTTTAGTAAGTTTTGAAGTATTTAGCTCTAATTAGTTTATAATTGCTAACTATGCTAATAACCGGAATAAAATCTGATTTAATCATCGATTTTCTGGTAAAATACAATTAATCATGATTTTACACCGATTTTTTCGGAATCAGCATAATCACCACGATTTTCATTCATTCTAGTTCCCCTCCCATTCTATAGGTATTTCGACGCTTCGATTTTAGGTTTCGATGTCCATCGCAGCTCTAGATCGAGTGCTCGGATTGCTACTTTCCGATAGATCGAGGGCTCGGCGGTAGTTTCGATGGGCTATTCCAGGGCACTCGAATCACTAATGCCGAGGGTCTTGAACTTTTCTCGAAATAAAAACAAATTTTGTCCGAAAGATGTCTTATTTCCGAGTCCTTGAAACCTATCGAATAAAGGCGGAATATGAGATTTGAACATTAATACTTACACTAGTCGACGTATAATACACCATTTAATTTTCCCGAAAAAACTCCAGAGTTCTACACTCTAAAAAAAGGTGTATTACGGAATTTAAAAAGGATTCTGCAGCCTATGAAAGCTTTTTAAGGTTCTTCTGTCGGATACACGGAAAGAACCTTTGTGCGGAAGCCTTTTTAGATTCGGTATTACACAAGAAGATTTCGCACAAAATACAAAACCCTTACGGGCTGTTCAATAATGACACCATCACTTTTTTCGTCATTTTGGACCCGTGTCCCTTGTCATCATTTGTTACCTTCTGCTTAGCCCCCATCGATTGATATCGCCATCAACCGATAGAAAATTTGTTCCAATTTGTGTTCTTCAGCTTGAAAGATGTTTCATCCCTTATTGATAACAAATGATCATTGTGTATAAGCAGGGTTTTAGGGTTTTCTTAGTCTCATCAAGGTCTACTTCTGGCCTGAAGCGGGAGTCAAAAGCGCTGGATCAGTTGGGGTAATTCCCTCCTCAGTAACGACAGATTACTAGATTACTTAACTTCGGAGAGTTTACCATATATAACGGGTGCGACAGAATAAATGTCCGTTTCTATTTCTCTCGTTAACACAACAAAGCGTTTTTGAGTTAGGAAAGTTTTCATTTTTTTCGTCTTTCGTAAAATTTGCGTAGTTTTCTTGACTGAAGTTCCGAAATTAAAGTCTAAGTATGGTTCTGTAGAGTCTGGATTCGTGAGGCATCTTTTAAAAAAAATAACTAACCTTAGGGTCCTAAAGAACCACGAGAAAAATAGAAAATACGAAGAGGGACATTTATTCTGCCGCACTTGATATTAGATAGTGTCTACTATAGAAAGAACCACTCACCGCGAGTTCAAAACATGCTCTCATTATTTTGCAATAGCTGCCGCACTAAGGCTCCAAATCCATAAAACCTTGAATCTTTCTTTAGCCCTCATTTGTATCGAGTTCTAGAGGCTTGTTCTAATCAGTGTCTTTCTGCTATAGTGTATTAAAGTTTCATAAAAGCCAGTTCGATATGCAACTTTTCGCACTAAATTCAATGCTAATACAACAACAAATTGCTTCCGCTATTAACAGGGTCCTATGCGCGAGTTTCGCCAAGAGAACCTCTAACAGCTTCCGTTCTGATGAATTTTCATATGCCGGTCAGCGGTTTTTGAACAACTCACGAACCAAAGGCGATAGAAACTTGCAGTTTTTGCGGTTTGATATCTAAGAGTTTAGACTATCTTTTTCTAACTAAAATGAAGCTAAAAGCATTTCTCAATAACCGATTTTGTAGGAGATCTGAGGAAAACCATTTTCGTAAAAACCGTAAAGTAGCAATATATTGTTTTTTTGCATGAGTAAATAGCCTAAAGTGTCCTTGTCAAAGTAAGAACCAAGCATGACTTTGATTTTGAGTGATTCGGACATCGAACGTAATTTTCATGAAGCCCCCCGATTGGCACCCAATGGCTTCGAGTAATCTTGAAAGCGGAGGAGACAAACATAGTCGGCTAAGTTAAATCTGATGGCAACGTTTATTTTCGAAGGACAGTAAAAGACCTAATGAAACTGTGTACTATGAAAATTGCATAAACACAGAGTGACAACAAATCTCAGACACCAAAAGATTAAAAACGCATGTTATATGTATAAACACACATATATATAGGAAATCTAACGGGTTCTTTAGCAGAAACTGCGCTCTCAGGTACTTTCGAATAACCCTTTCGTTTTTGTCCGCGAAGGCTTGAACGCTTTTTAAATTTCCGCGGTTTCATTCTCTACAAGATACATGTTGAACTTTCTCTATATATCGTAAAAGCGAGGCATATAGTTTTGTACAGATAATTTGAAACAGAGGATATATCTTTTTAAGACAGCAGCATTCATAATAATTTTTATTTAATTAAAATATTCGACGTTTCGATTACTCATACAACCATTTTCAAGAATGTGTTTATCTGGTTATTGTGTGAAAATTTGGGCGATTTTGCTAAAATTTATCGAGCTAAAAAATATAAACGACTAGGAGAGAAAGCTCTTTTTTCTACATTGGAAAGCGATACACATTGTGGTTTCATAGTATTTTATTTTCACAAATCCTTCGCCATTAGATTCTCCGCCGTTATTAACCTATTTGCACTTGTCTTTATCAGTTTTGGGCGAAAAATGAATTTTTTATTTGAAGATGACCTGAAGGATTTTGTCGTCTCTTTTTCAGACCCTATATCTCAGCAACGAAAAGGCTTTTCTAAGAAAACGAAGCATTAGTTTGCACTACGTTCAGCCGCGACCTTTTTTGGCGCAAGAATGAGATCGCTAGCTATTAGGGAGAAAAACTAGATAGAGTTACAAAATTCAAGGTCAATTTTATAGGTGTCCCGATTAAAAAAGTTCTCCAGCTGATATGACGCGCAAGAACTGGCCTCAAAACACACATCTATACCTATTTCCATTCAAAGAATCTGAATATCACGTCAGAAATGACGACAAATGTAATGGGGAAAAAATAAAGACGATTTTCTGAAAGGGCACATTTCTGCGATTTTTGACATGCGCGCAGTATTTTGCGTTCTTCTCCATGAAACTGCGGTCTACTCGAAAAAATAAGGCGAGATTCGGCGAACAAGAATATGTGTGTTCGAAAAAAATATAAAATTTGTATTAAAATTGCATTATTGGCACCTTATGAATGTTAACGATTGTGTGGTTCTGCAAATACATTGAGGACGAGCATTTACGATTGAAACATACGTAGAAGGGCGAGGGCGAACAACTAAGGGTCGCTCTTTCTACTATAGAATCTGCATTCAATGCGCATCATAATTATGAAAACATAATCATAGAAACTTATGGTTCCGAAAAGCGTATGTGAAATTTTTGTTAGAAAGATTATGTTTTAGCCAATTTACCGATGGTAACGAAACGTCTTCCGTCGGAAATTGAACATATGAAGAAAAAATAGTAAAAAAGTATTATGACCAATCTTACCGCCAACTCCCTTGTATTCCCAAAAATCCCAAAATTTGATGATCTTGTCAAAGTTGGAATAGAGCAGCGGTTAGGACAGACTGGATTTCATAGCCAAGATCATGTTCAACACGCGATTCATCAACTACACTGCAAACGAGACTGTATATTTTATCAAAACAATTTACTACAAGTGAATGACTTTTGTCGATTACAATTTGTATATGTATTTGTACCATTTTCATGTTATGCACTGGAATGAATGAACTATGCAGTATAATGTCACGTTTAGGCACATGCAAGTTACATCGGAAGTGCATAATCCAGTGTATTTTCGCTGAGCTTTCAAAGTAGCGCAATGCATAATGATTGGATGAATATTGCATTCAACGCTACCATTCACATATCATGCAACATTTTACGCACGTTTAATGACCGTTTTCAGTACATAACAAGTGCATGCTATGAGCTGAGTCATTGATTAAAATGTACCTTTCTCTGTATAATAAGTCATAGGCGCTTTTCCCAACGAACTAGTATCTATTAAAGTTTTGTAACATTTATTTATGAGTACTAAGCAATATAAACAGCTTTCTTTCGTTAGTACGATAAGCTGAAATAAACGACATTGGGATGACGAAACGATTAGTCCTTAGAAAATAAGCTCTAAACTTGTTTCTTTCTTGTTTACTTTTGCATTAGAAAACTGGAT